TGGCAAATAACGACTTTTTTTTAAAAAAAAAAAAATTCCTCCTTTAGTCTTCCATTTAGACATCAAATAATAATAAATAAAATTTAATTATAATTTTTATATTTATAAAATAGTAATTAAAAATAAAATAATTTTGTTTGATCCAATAACTAATGGTCATTTATGATAAATAACAATTGATAAGACTTGTATTTCTTGAACAACAGATGATAATTTGTCTACTTTATGGTTCTATATCTAATTATTTTATATGATGAATTTTCAAAAAAAAAAAATTATATGATATTAAATTATTTAGAATCTTACATCAATAATTTCATGAAATTGATTAAATTAAATTAAATTAAATCTTATTAACCATCGAAATTAATAAAAAAAAATCTGTAAATGAATAAAATTGTACTTTATTTTTGGTTCAAATTAATTCATGCTCAATAGTTATATCACTAAATACAAAAATTAATTATAATTATGGTTTGTTTTAGTTGGTCTCTCGTAAAGGTATCGAGTTTAAATCATCTCGATCATAAAAATTTTCGCCAATTTGACGAGTTAAAAGGCAGATTTCAATTCTATTAATCATCTCAATTGGGCTTCATTTTAATTAGCTAAGAGTGTCATTCGGTAGTATCCAGCAAAATTAATGGTGTGCCCATCTAAGGAGGTGAGATTGGGCTAAGCAACAGAACTGAAGTGGGCTTCGGCCTAAAACATTACACAACTTTTTTCTTTTTACATATATATTTTTTTGAAGTATGAGTCTTAGTTGTAAAGGGACCCATTATATATATATATATATATTTTAAAAAAAAAAGGTAAAATGTGATGTATAATTATTTAAAATCTAGAGATTTATTTTCAGTTTAAAATTATTTTTAAAGTGAAATTTTTCTTGAATATTTTTATGATTGAAAATGCTCCTTTTGTCGAAGAAGATGATGATTCTCTCTTTTTGTATTTGTGTATTTATAGGAATCTTTGTCATGGGAAGAAAGAGAGCAATGTTCAACTAGCAATAATTTAGAGGTATAAAGATAAAAAAGATAATAATAATTTTCTATTTTTTTTATTATTCTTAATTTTTTTTTAACCAAGAGAAAAATTATGGTTAATTTCTTCACTCCATTTAAAAATAAAATGGTTTTGTAAAGACATAATTAAAAGAAATTTTTAATTGTTATATAAAAAAAATATAATTTATAAACATGAAATAAAAATCAAGAAATAAATGAAAAGTTGAAGAGGGAAAAATATGCAAAACACAATAATAGCATTTGGTAAGATAAAGCATTGAGCCCCCACTTAAAAATATAAGCCACCATACTTTATTGGAGCATTTTAATTTGAACTCAGAATGTAAATGGGCCACAAAAATTAAAGATGAGGCCCACTTATGCTAAAACCAAAAACTTGCGAAGCTGAAGAAGGCCCAATAAAATTCACCAAAAGTCATTGATAACTTTTGTGATGGAGATAATTCGAACTTGAAACCTACTACTTCCCACATCTTCTACAAGACTTGAGAATATTAATTAGACCGCACTTAATGAAATTTTATGAGATGGAAAAGGATTCGACTTCAAAACCATAATTCAGTAAAACCAGACCGAATCAAATTAGTTTGGTTCTATTTTATTTTAGTTTTAACCAAAAAAAAATAAATATTTTCAGTTTGGTTCAAGTTTTATTAGGTTAAAAAAAATAAATTTAAAAACTTACCCAAAGATATGTTTAAATGAATTCATATAATGAACCAAAAACAGAAAAATTGTATAAATGAATAGTGATGTGACCAATAGAATTTATACAAAATACAAAAGTGTATGTGTAAGTGGTTCTTGATTCTTCTCCTATCACTCTTGACTTGCCCTATGTCCTTACTATGCGAAGAAAAGAAATAACACATGTACGAGTTTTGTCAATTATTTGCAATTGGGTTTGTGTTTACACAAGAAAAAACAAATTGCTAAATGTGAAAAGGTTGCATGTCTCAATCTTTGTCTTCAAGCCATAACCAACTTGTCCTTGTTACTTGTATCAACATTCTAAACATAGATTGTTTTTAGCTAGCCTTTCACATTGGAGTGTTTTTGGACCACAAAACACTAAGAAAATGAAATGGTAAGAAAAATTAGGGTTAAGTAAAAAAAATTCAAACATAGATCTCTTTGGGGAATCACATTGAATGGTAATAAAAAAAATTTTCAAAATTAATGAAATTAGTGATAGATTTAGTCTTATTCAATTATTATTGATATACAAAAATAATGAAAATTGAAGGTATAGCTCTAATAAAATATAAAAATAATTAGATGTCGGTCACATTTTAGACAACCTTAAATAATTATTAAGTATGCATAAGCTTATTCTTTTTGCTCCTTGCTTTAATTAGATCCTTCACCTCTTATTTTTAGTCAATTAAATTATAAATCGAATGCATAACTATATGTGATAATAATCAAAATTAAAGTTGTTTAATAATAGATAATTGGATCAACAAATCATAAATGAGAGATTTGAAAATCAAAACCTAGAATCGCCACTATTAAAAAGAGTTTTATTTAAAATGATCTGAGTAATTTGAATAGACTCGAGCTCAACTCATTCTAATATATTTATATTATACATGAGCCGAACTTGATTAAAAATATAAATTTTTCTATAAAAGAGCTAAGCATGAAAAAATAAAAATTCAACTAGACTGTTCGCGAGCTTTACTATTCTTTTAATTTGTAAAAAAATTAATCAAAATGTCTTAAAAATGGCTCAAAATCGGATCAATTTCAAACAATACCATATATTATAAGTCGAACCAAGTCAAAATAGTAGGATATTTGACTCGATTCGGTTGGTTTTTGCTCCTACCGTTATGATATTCAATGAGATATTACCATTAGAGAGGAAAATGTTATGGGTGCCAAATGCCTCCTCATGCACGTGTTCAAATTTGTTTCCTGATATCATAGAACAAATACTACTCAATTATCAGAAAGAAGCCTCCAAAATCCATAAATGTGTCAAATAATTCAGAAGTAACGACCATCCATCAATACCCATACTATATGATATAATATAAAATTAATTTTCAGTAACTAATTAAATTTTTTGAAGTATTGGAGAGGAAAGTTGATAAGGGTGAAATTGGAATTTTAGCTTCTATTTTTAATAACAAAGTGGACTTTATTTATAAGATCAGGGTTCAAAATATGGAGTTACTAATTTTAGAAAAACCGATAAAAATTTCATTATTAGAAGAATGATTTTATCTGAATACCACTCTATTTAAAGTGTGCATGATTTCCATCTGAATAGGGTGGGAAACCCTGAAGCGATGAAGGAAAAAATATAACCAACATTTACTTTTAGTTAATAAATATTATAAATCGGAAAAATTATAATATGATGGTTCATGTGGTTTGAAAAATATAATTAATTCATCCTTATATTTTTGAATATATATTAATTTTTCATTATATTTTGAATCTATTATACTAATAGGTCATTCCATCTAATTTTTATATCTTTTTCAGTTTAAGTGCCTTATGAAATTGTGAAAATACTCATTTTATCTCTTCTCATTTTTGGTATATTTTTGAAAACACAAAGAATAACTAATTGTATTTCTCAAATCACAGTAACCATATTTTCAATATTCAGATTTTAATATCTCTCTATTGATCTTTTCTTTTTCTTGCTGATTTAATGGAAAAGTTATAAAAATTGAACAGAAGAACATACTTAGTACCATGACAACAACAAAACATATAAATAAAAGATAATTTTTTAAAATATAGCAACAAATTAATTGTATTTTGCAAACCATAGGAATCGTGACCTAACTTTTTTTATAAATATAATGTATTTCTCCACAACAGCGGTACCGTTAACCTTCAAAACCATTAGTTTGTTGAAGAAGAAGCGTGGAGGTTGGTGGTGGGGATAATGGTAGATGTCTTAGTTTTTTTTTTTTCACGTGCTGTGTCTCTAATGTAGAGTAGCTAAGCTAACTGTAGCCTGCCTATTCAATTAAATGCCCAAGACAACCAAATTTGGAATGCTAATTCCTCTGTTTAATGCATATTAATGCAAAAGGATTCTATATATATATATATTTACAGGGAGACAATATATCATTGTCACTACATATCATATATATCTTGAGTGATTATATGGCAAGTTTGCATTTTTTTTTTTTCCATAAAATAGCAAGGATCATATCGGTTTGTTTCAAGCAGATATACAATAATATTGTCAGTTATACAATAAAGGATAGTCTTCTTATAACTCGCTAAATTGATAAAAATTTTATAGTTGATAGGACATAAAACTAAGATATTTTGAATAATCTTCTTTGTTTTTTTTTTTAATTATAAAATGAGTGACTTATTTTTTAAAAATAGAATCTGTATAAAAAGAAATTTCTTGAATACATTTAGTGACAATTAAAAAAAATGAAATACTCTGATCTGAAATCAAAATACCGGTTATAATTAGTTTAGAATCACGAAAAATAAAATACCGTTTATAATTAGTTTAGAATTAATTTAGAATCTTTTTGAGTCATGCACAGGTAAATTTTTCTACTCTATAAAAACAAAAATAACAAGGAAAAAGAAGTTGTGATTAGACTTGTGAAAATAACTCTGTCTAATATAACATGATATGTCTTTGAACAGCAATCAATTTCAATTAATCTTAATAACTTTGCAGATATTACAAGATATCACATTTATAAATGGCCAAGAATAGAAAGATGACAAGTCATCAAGACTAGTCATTTTTTATGACCAGGTTTCTCATGTGGCAAGACATCATTGGTAAAAGTCACATGAAGGATATTGTTTTCACGTGAAATACTGACTCATCCAATGGATTCCTTTGATACCGTGTCATCTCTAAAATACATGCAAATATGGTATTTATTTTACATTAAAAAGTTAATTAATTTATATATATCAGCTGCCGCTTTCTATCTTCTTCTATATAAACCCATCAGAAATTCCTCAAATTACCACACAAAAATTTATTATCCCATCTTTTTCTTGGAAAATCAGGTCACAGATAGAAGGAAAATAGAGAAAAGGAGGTGAGTATAAGCTTTTTTTCTTTTTTCTTTTTTTTTTTAAATTTAAATATTATTTTCTTAATCAAATGGTAGTATTGTTATTATATATTATTTATTTTTTCTTTGTTTCTTTATCAAATTGCTACAAAAGTGTACTGTCGTGAAGTCTCATATATGTATATAAAAGCATATTGTCGTTAAGCATTTACGTTTTATCAAAATCTATTTTCTAATTTATTTAATTACTTGAACTTGATGTACTCTAAAATTAAAGAACGAAACAAAAAATTCCAAGTCAATAATTAAACCAAAAAAAGAAAAATTTCATTTTCCATGAACATAAATATAGTTGTTAGTGAAAAATTATAGAATAGAAAACAAGAACTAACAGAAGCTAAACTAAAAATAGTGATGTCCCTCCAAAAACAAAAATTTGTAGGTGCAAATATTGCAGTTTGAAGTTTCAATTAGCTTGGCAATGGTGATCACAAAGCAAAAGGGAACACAGTTTTATCCTCCAAACGTGAGGGTTTCCCTTGTCATATTTTGAACCTTATCATATAAAAATTACACATGTGGCAAATATTAATTAGCCTTCTGATTTTAGGTAAAGGTTAGAGAAAAAAGAATCTGGTGGTCCACTTATCACTTACCACTTACTAAACTTTATTAATCTTTAAATCAAATATAGGCGTATACATCTTTTGCCTCCAAACTTAAGCAAAAAAAATCTTGTGGCCCTGTTTATTTTTCAAAATGACCTTATGGTATCTTAAAGTTATAAAATTATTAACATCACACCCTTATTAATCCGGTCAGAAACGCGTGAAAAGGCAAATTATTTTCTTACGCATGAACTTGTAAAAATAATCCTAGATGGTATTTTAAATCGTTAAAAATATTTTTTTATTACTAAGTTAACTAGAATATTATTAAACTTCTTAAACTTAGGGATGAGGGGAGGGTGTAATCGACTAACCCTTGACTAGTCTCGTCAACTTGTGGCCGGTCTTGCCGAATAAGTACAGAGTAGCGGTGAAGCAGAAAAGTGAGACTGCGACTCGCTCTCTGCTGTGCTCGCTGGAAGAGAAAGAGAGAGATTAGAGATGGCATGAGCAACGGAGGAACGATGACAAGAAGCTCTGGTTTGTGCGACCTGAGCTTAGATTATCGGAAATGCAAAAAGAAAGGAGAAAGAGGATTGTTTCGATCGATAAGCCCCTCTGTCTCTCTCGCGCCATTTGAATAAGAACGAAAGCAGAAAGCGATGGCCAGAGATGCTGTAGCTGATGTGAGGTAGTCAAATCGGCGGAGCTTTGAGCTATGGTGAACGAAAAACAAAGGGGATAGGATAAGGGGGAGAAGGGATTTTGGGTTAGTTGCTGATTTGTTTTGATTTAGATTTGATTTAGCTCGATTCATGAATTTTTTTTGTTGCATATTCAACGTGGCAAAATTAATTGTGACTTAGAATTGTAATTTTTCAAGTCATCCTCGCGTGTTGTGCACAACCAATTTACTACTCTGACTAGGTATGCAATTGTTATAAAAAGTAAATTTAGGGTGCTACAAAATCACTTTGAAAGTAGAGGAGGCCACAAAACTTTTTTGCATCAAATTTAAGAGGAAAATCATGTATTCCATCCTCAAATATACGCATATACATATATGTGGGTGTCAGTTTTCTATTGGATAATAATTTTATCAGTCAATTGATGCAATAAATAGGCTCTTTTTCTAAGGCAAGCAAGACTTAATTACATTTCATTTTCTTGGAGTTGTTTTTTTTGTTCTTCCATTCTTGATTCTTTTGGTAATCTTGAAAGTACCATTTGCACTATTTGTGATTTAGATTGTTATATCTTATTTCTTTTGTTGCTTTTCATATATATATTATCAGTCAATTGATCAATAAATAGGCTCTTTTTCTAGTGCAAGCAAGACCTTAATTACATTTTTCTTTTCTTGGAGTTGTTTTTTTTGGTTCTTTCCATTCTTGATTCTTTTGTAATCTTGAAAGTACCATTGCACTATTTGTGATTTAGATTGTTTATATCTTATTTCTTTTGTTGCTTTTCATATATTATATATATATATATATATATATATATATATTATATATATATATATATTATATATTATATATATATATAGCTTGCTAGGAATAATAATTTTAGAATTTGACATTGATAAAAGCTTGCTAGAATAATAATTTAGAAATTTGACATTGATAAACAAACAAACAAACCGCACCTCTTTTTCTCATTCATATTCTTCACATGTCGGTATTAGGGATTTGTAAGGAAAATAATTCATATATATGAGGTGAAGAAAAATAGTGCTATTCTTCAAGAAAATGACTTTTTTTTTCTTGTTTGTTTGCAATAATAAAATAGAATTTTCAACGTAAAATATAACTTGTCATTCAATGTTTGAGAAGCCAATGTAAATCATCTAACTTTTACTTCTCATCTTCCTGTCAACCTCTTCTGTCGAAAAAGTGAACTTTTTTACTATTAACGAAATATACTTTTTGTACGGAATGTGTTCATTTTTTAGATGAAAAAACTATTTTTTGGATTGAATGACTTAACAGTGAGATAAAAAATGAGAATATAATGAGATTTAAGTATGAATTTAAACATAATTTAGAATTCAGTTATATTTTATAAATTTTTATTAAGATAAAATGACCAAAATATTTTTTTTATATATTTTTATTTATTGGAAGCCTAACGAGCAGAAATAGTATCGTAGTTGCTCTTTTCTTATAATCGAGAGGATTCAAATTTTCCCACGTTAATAAGAAAATATTTAAAAACCTATATATTGGATGGACTTTAATGCTTGCTCATAAAATAATTTGTTATTTACATAATTGATTAATGGTCAATGATGACACTAAAGTTTAATTTAAGGATAAAAACTTTAAGGAATCTTTAACTACCATATATATTTTGAAATTATATAGTGATATCATTGGCACATGTGAATATATTTCTTTGAGTAAAATATTTGTAAAAGATAATTATACGTGTATGAATATTATACAACTATTGTTTTCATTTTTTATTTATTAAAGGGATGATAAATGATTTACAAGGTTAACCATTTACTTTAAAAAACTATTAAATATGCATTCAATTAATTAGTAAATTATTACAATAATTTATTAATTAATCAATCAAAAGACAACCGCAATACAATTGAACTAAAATTCATTAATTTTTTATTTTTATTTTTATTTTCTTTACTATCTCAAAATCACAAAATCATGTATCTAACTATCAATTTTAATTTTTTGATTCCATATTCCTTTTTCTTTTCTTTTTTTTTTTGGATAAATTTATTAAGTTATATATATATATATATATATATTATATATATATCAAGGGTATATATATATATATATATATATATCAAGGGCTTTTGTTAGTGGCACTTTGACTTGAGAAGTGTTTGGTAATTTATTAATTTTCTGAAATTTTGATATAAGAAAGTTGTGGTGTTTGTTTGGACATGCTTTTGAGCAAAAGCAAAAACAGTAATAACCTGTGAAACATGCAACAAGTAAACCACAATCATTTATATCTAATGGACAGTATGCATTTGAAATTAAAAAAAAAATTCATCAAATTGCAATAAATTATTTTAAACTCATTGTTTTTCTAATTAAATTTAAATTATTTAATTACATAAGCATAAACACAAAAGAAAAATAAATCTAATAATAATACGTAATACAAGTATGAAATTTTTAACTTAAGAAAAATAAAATAGCCATTTCAATTTATAACCTTTTTAATAATAATCAATGGTTAGATGGGTGTATTAGAATTTGATTCTATTATAAGAGCTTCTTATTCTTATTGTTTATTAAATTTAAAATTACATTTATTTTAATATAAATATATCAATAATTAACAATATGAAGTCAACGTAATCGGCAAATTCTATATGCATTCCTCTCCATAAAAAAAGAACAGAAATAGATGTCTTGTTAGGACAAGAAAATATCTATAGCTGCCTAAACAACTAATAACGCTAGTTAATCTATACCTATGTTGCACGGAAACGGGAACGTGAAAGCGTGAAAACGCAAAAATGAATACAAAGAACCGGTATTTTTTTAAAATATAGGAAATGGATACGTGAAAAAAATGTGTAAATGAATAAATATAAAAATATAAATTATTATAAATTATTAAATATATTCGTTAAAGTCCAATCAATATTTAATTATATTCAAAAAAATTACAAGTTTCATACTCATAAAAAAACACATGTTTTATGAATTTGTATTTATTTATGCATTTATTTTAATTAGAGAAATGAATTTTTGAAAATTTCTAATTTACGAAAACGTGTTTGGAGAGGGGAAACGTGTTTTCAAATTACTTAATTTATAAAAATAGCCCCGAAACGTTTTGAGGAATTTCTAAGCGTTTCCGCAACACGGAAACAATAGCCAAAGGAAGTTTCTTTGCAACATAGATTCATACACTTTCTTAAACTCTCATGGATACACACACACATTTGTATATATATATATATATATATAAATTGATAATTGAACAATATTATTATTAATATATAGAATTATTAGTTAATTACGTATGGTCTAATTGATCTTTTTTTCGTGTCACGTCTTATAGAAAATGTGGGGAGTTTGAACTCGAGTTTATATTTTTTCCACCATAAAAAGCTACTACTAATTTGGTAAATGTAATTTAATAAAGAAAGTTATCCCTATTGTATAGCGCATAATATTTTTTTCCATATATTTAGCCTCCATGTATATATATACATTATAATTATATATATATATATATATATTTATTATAATATATTAAATTATTAATCACATCTCGTGTCCCCAGTAAGCAATAGAGAGAAAAAGAGTAAGTTGTGCACGGCGCCGAAATTGGAATGTAGTTGCTTTCCACGGGGTCATGATGCCATTAGATTAATCCACCGAATATTTAATTTCACCGTACTTTATAATTTTAATTTTATCGCATTTTAAATTTTGTGAATGACTTATTATATATTTAAAATTATAAATTTTATAATATTATACATATTTTCATACCAATAATAATAATTTTGAGAATTTTTAATTTTAATATGCAAAATATTAATTCGACGTGAAGTGTTCAGTAAGTGAAATTTTATAAATTGAAGTATTTAATAAGTCAAGATAAAAATTGAACATGATGTATGATTACAGTAACAAAATTTAGAGGTAAATTTATATATTTAATCTATTATAATTGTTGTAATTCTGTATTTAGCATGGAATTTATGATTTGATTTGTAATCTGTCCTGAACTTTGCCTTAAAATGGACGTAATATTGTTTACAATAATTTTTGGTTAAAAATAAATTTCTTAATATCACTACATCCACACATAGTAATTATATGTACCAACATAATAATGTTATTCATTATTATGATATATTCTTAATTTTAATTCCACATATATATGGTAGTTTTTTTCTTTGACTGAATACATCAATTCATCGTTGAACTTTATAACGTTAACCTTGTGGCACCATAAACTTTACAGATGACCTATCGTGTACTTGAATTTATAAATTTTCGTAATATTACATACTTTTCGATACTAATATCAATAATTTTTAGGAATTTTGGCTTTTATTTGTAAAATATTGACTTGACGTATAATTAGTGTGACTTTTAAAATAATAATTTACATATATTTTAATTTTTTAATAAATATTTAATTTATCTAATTTTGTAAGTAGGGGTATTAAATAAAATAATTTGAATAATTGAAGTATTTAATAGGTATAATTTTTAAAAATTAAAGTGTTTGATTGATCAAAGTAAAAATCGAGGATTCTATAAAATTAAAGTAACAAAATCTACAGATCAATTTATGTATTCAGTCTTTTTTTTTTTCTTTCTTTTTTAGGTTTGCATCACATGATTTCCTACCCGTTTGAATAGTATTTAAGTAAAATCTCCTTCAACAGCCTCGAATCGAATTTTAAGTTTCAAATTACTTTCTTTACCGGTAAAATTTATATACAGATGCAATAACAATGCAACTTCACCTATCCGAAAATAATAATAAAATAAAAAAAAAAAAAATCTTTTTCCAGCAAGGATATGAAATATCATATTTGTGTCCTACTTCATATAGGTATCTGAAAATGACCTTCAAATGCAAATATATCGTCTAACTTTTCATATATATTTTATTTTATTTTATTTTATCTTTTTTTTTTTAAAAAAACCCCATTATTTTCACGTTCTTCTCCATGTCCATTTCATTTCACTTCCTTGTGCTTGCCACCTCCTCAGCACCCCCATCCATCTGCCCTTTTAACTACCACTCTTCAATTCCTTCCCTCATCCCTATCTCTCTCTTTCACACACATACACACATACACACGCACAGAGAGGCTTCTCTTTTCTGTTCACTTTCTTTTTCTTTTTAAAAGAAAAAAAGAAAAGAAAAGCAAACTAATCAAGGCTTGTTTGGTTGATTGTTTTATGTTTTCATGAGAAGAAAGACCAAAGCTTTATATTAATACATACATAAAGAACATGAATCTTCAAGATTGGCCTGAACCAATAGTTCGTGTTCAATCTTTATCGGATAGTTGCCCACCGGAAATTCCTTCCCGGTATATAAAGCCACCGCAAGATAGACCTTTAGTGAATTCTTTTTCTCCCTGCGATGTCAATATACCTATTATTGATCTCGTCGGGCTTTACGGCGATGACTGTAATCTTAAAGCTTCAATACTTAACCAAGTGTCCATGGCTTGTCGCGACTGGGGATTTTTTCAAGTTATTAACCATGGCGTTGAGGAGGAGTTGATGGACAAAAGTCGCCAAGTTTGGAGAGATTTTTTTCATCTGCCTATGGAGGTGAAACAAGAATATGCAAACACTCCTAAAACTTATGAAGGCTATGGCAGCAGATTAGGAATCGAAAAAGGAGCCATTCTTGATTGGAGTGATTACTATTTTCTTCACTATCTTCCTTTGTCTTTAAAGAATTATAACAAATGGCCTGGCCTTCCACCTAATTGCAGGTAATTATATATATATAACAGCTCCATTTCTTGTTTTCATTCTCCAATATCGAATTCTTGAACTTTTATTTGGTTTTTTTTTTTTCTCTTATTTATGTTTTATTAATTTTATTACAACTAGGATTTGGAACTCATAAACTTACAATTTGGAGATGGATCTTTTATTTATGTTTCTACATTTCTTGTTCTCTTTTTATATTTTGACTATTTTTTGTTTTTTTATTTATATTTTTCTAATTCTTTAAAAATACGACTATTACAGTGAAATTTGGATCTGATGTTTACTTTTAGATTATCATGATTTTTTTTTAATCATCGTACCTAGTATGAATGTTCAAAAGTTACCTACAAACTTTGCCGGCCACTTGTAGTTGTAGCTAAACTGTTGTATATATGTCCAAGCAATATATTTTTTTTTTTTCACCGAACCTACAATTTCTTTTCGTGGTTGTTTAGTGATCAAAGCACAATTAAAAAGGGTATAATTTTTTTTTTTGTAGGGAAGTGATTGATGAATATGGTAAGCAAGTAGTGGAGCTATGTGGGAGATTAATGAAGATATTATCATCAAATCTCCAATTAAGAGAGTCGCGTCTACAAGAAGCATTTGGCGGTAAAGATATTGGGGCATGTTTAAGAGTAAATTTTTACCCTAAATGTCCTCAACCTAACTTGACACTCGGTTTATCATCGCATTCGGACCCGGGTGGCATGACGATTCTCTTGCCGGATGACAATGTCCCCGGCCTCCAAGTCCGGCGAGGATGCGATTGGATTACAGTCAAGCCAGCTCCTCATGCTTTCATTGTCAATATTGGTGATCAAATTCAGGTAAAAAGTTGCTCTCTATCTATCTTTCCTTTTCTATCTCCAAATTATCTACAAATCTGAAATATGTTTGGTCCAAATTTGACAGCCTTATTAAAAGGTACACATGGAGGGGTCATGTTATAGGTTAATACATAATTATCATTATTAATTATAATTATGCTCTAAAATAATAATAAAAAAGTGATAATACAAAACGAAAATAATTAAACAGGATAAGATAATGTTTTGTAACCTTTTAGCTGATGCCCATTAGACAATGTTTCGTTGTGTGGTCAGAAATGGTTACTTAGTTTGCTTTCACTCTTTCTTCACAAGCTATATTTGATGTACCAGAAAGAAAAAAAAAACATTTAACCTTAATGAAATCTAAATCTTCAAGTATTCCCACGTTTTAAAAATGTGCAAAACATGTGTCATTGTTGATGTCATAAAACAAGTAGTTAGATGGTTCTTTTCATTAGATTTTTATAATATTAAAGTCCTCCTTTTGACTTCTCCACTGTTCTTTTGAAACACTTGAAATTGCCTTTTTCCTAGAGATATTACAGCTTGTGTGTGTGTGTGTGTGTCTGCAGTGTAGATGACTCGTTAAAGTCTATGGCCCAGATACTACAGTTAGGTTTGGTACACAACATGAAATGAGAATCCTAAATAGAAATTTCTATTCTCTCCCTTTCAAAATATAAATCATTTTATTTTAAAATATTAAAAATTAATAAATTTCTCTTTATTTAGAAATGAAAGATAATCTAATCAAATTACTCTTAATTTTGTTATAATTTAAAAAGATAATTGCTTTCATAATTCCGTGCAAAAATTTTATCGAGAGCCTTCATGGGCTGAAACAATAATGCAGGCTGCACAATAGATGGTAGTTATTCTATTGGCTCACCAAATTATTGAAAACAACTATGATCAGAAAGACTTGAATTTGAGACCTTCAACTCTCACACAAGTGAGAAAACTAACTAGATCACCACTTGACTGGCATTATTAGTTTGTTATTTCATAATTAATCAATTTTGAAAATGAATATTAATTTTACGTATTATATTAACTAATTTATTTTTATTTGTACATTATTTCTACAGATACTAAGCAATGGGATATATAAGAGTGTGGAGCATCGAGTGATAGTAAATTCAGCTCAAGAGAGAGTATCACTCGCCTTCTTCTATAATCCAAAGAGTGATATTCCTATACAACCAATGGAGGAGCTTGTCACACCAGAGAGACCTTCTCTATACCAAGCTATGACATTTAATGAGTATAGACTTTTTATTAGAACAAAGGGTCCTCAAGGAAAATCCCAAGTGGAGTCTCTAAAATCTCCAAGATAATTACTATATACAAATATTTCAATTTTTCACGAGTACTTTCATATCCATTTTTTATACGAGGTTAATCTCGTTTTAAAATTTATGGCTATCATTTCATGTAAGTATTTTTTCACGGATCGAACCTCTGATCTTACAGAAGTCGTCCGTTGAACTTAAGCATATGCTTTACTTATGGGTAGATAATTAATATATATTTGATATCGAGATAATTACTTAACTAATTAGTTTTGATTTTATTGTAAATCAAATGTAAAAACAATCCCTTCATTGGATATACAAATGAGGGATTAAAAAAAATAGAAAGATATATAATTTTTGTTATTTATTTTTTTTTTAAAGAATAAATTGAATAATGGGGTTTGAGGGCCCAAAAAGATTCTGATTAATTAGGTCATATGATGGGATGTTAGTCCTACTTAGTACCGTTGATTGAGGCACTTCTGTGGCATTTTCTACTTATATTAGATTATGAAATTGTACTATAAAAGTTGTGTTTTATTTGATTGAGTCAATATTAAAATCCTAATCCAATAATGCAATTAGATAATTTTGAAAAGATATATATTAGTGCTTTTGTTGATAATACCACTTAACCACAATGAAAAGAGGGATACAATGGTAATTTAGGGATATAGATTCATGCACCTTCACTTGCTTAAGAGAGAAAATAAAAATTAGAATTTTCTATTTTTTTTTCTTTTATGATAAGACTAACTTTCTATTTCTTTTTTTGTTTGATATATAATACCTTGTCGAACGTTAGCATAAAACAGAAATATCACATGTGGAAATTCTATCTCCATTGTCGGCAGTACTTCACATAGCATGTGATGACTTAACAATTAATTTCACAATGGAGTGTAATTTCGTCTTACATCTATTTTTGTATTTTAAACAGTACTGTATTTATTAATTTAATTGTAATTACACCGTAATCAATTCTTAGAAGGCAATTGCACTCTAAAAATAAATAAGTCACTTTGAACTTATCGATCTTTTATAATTGCATTCTATAAATAAATTAAACCTAAATTTTTAATTAAAATAATACAAATATGAGCTCCGTGACTAATTCAAATTTAATTAAATGTAAAAATGCATTGTTTAAATTATAAGAGAGAATTTGATGGTTTTACCATTTTTTTTCTCTTTCAACTAATTGTCTCTCTTCTCTTGTGGATAATCGAACGGTCCAGCCTAAAATATTAATTTTATGGTTTATTATATGAACACTTTGGGTTTGATTAATTTTTTTATTTATAATTTGAATAGTATGTGATATCTTTTTAATTCAAATTGTCTATTTTTATATTTACAATAAATCAATAAGTTCAGAGTACTCTAATTTGCTTTTAGGATGCAATTACATTCTAAAAATAAATTATATTATAATTGCAACAATTTAAAAAGTTCGGGGATAAAATGATGATTAGGCCCTAAGTAATTGAAGCTTGATCTATTTGTTATTTTGTAAGAGTATTCAATTATTTAGTCACGACTAATTTTCACCTATGGTGTCTGAAATTTGCATTGACCACTAAGCAAATATGGATGATAAATTGGATATAAAATCGGATTTTTGTTCTAAACAAACTATGCTTGTTTTTCTCTCTTCTACCTAAAACAACTTTCTCTCAATTTTTGATCCATTTGTTACAGATAAATGAATAGGAACCGTTGGACTCCATGATCTTTCTATAAATTCACATTTAGAATTTTTTTTCTATTATAGAGTATATCTGCACTTCTTTCTGCATAACTGTTCAAATAATAAAAACTCTTATCAAAATCACTATAATGGTGATAATAATAACTCATAATAGATTTGAGAGCTATATGAACAATAATAATTCAAATCTGTATCAAAAGATAAAAAAATAAATAAAAAAGAAAAATAGTAACCATCAGTAAGAGCTCACCAATAGCCATCCGTGACAAAAGAGAAGAGAGCTTCTATATTTTGAGGAAACGAGAGACGGACTTATTACGTTACATATAATAAGAATAGTTTCCTCCCATCACTATTTATACTTGTTCTTTATAAGAAGAATCACAATGCACACCATCAAAGTTGAAATTGTGGTAAAAAAAATAGAAAAAAAAAGAAATTATGGGTCACCCACTACCTTATCTTTTGTACGGATTAATATATTCATAAATTTTTTGGAGCATGCATACATATTTTTCTTGTTTATATAGAAAAATAAATAAATAAATAAATAATAAAGGTTAAATAAATTATAATGGTGACTTGTATAAGCCACATATAGTGAGTCATCCCTTGAAACTCTTCCGAAGGACAAGGCTTTATTAATCCATGACTTTTGCCAAAGAGCTTCATGTAATGCTACAACAGACAAATATATATAATAAAATATTGCATGCTTAATATATATTTTTAGTCATGCTTTATTTTTTTATGCAACAATCATGTTTTAAAGTCAATAGTGTCAACTATGGATTAAGGTTGTTATACATATTTTAAATCAAATAATTAACTATAATAGTCACATGTCTATTAGCTTTAAATTTTTTATTTGTTTATGTAGAATTAAGTTCAAAGATCAAATGCTACTTGTTGGATTGCCCAATCTTTCTAATGCTTCCCTTACAAATAGTTTCCAATTTCTTAAAAATGAATTTATCGGCCATTAAATTTAAAATTTTAGTCGATATATTTAACTTAATCCAGTTGTTTTCATATAAAATCGAACTTATAATGATGCTTTCAAGCAATTTAATTGTTGATGTTGGATTAAAAAATAAAAATAAAAAGATTTTTAGGCATCATTTTTTTAAATATATTAATATTTTTAAAAAAAGAAGGTGGAGGAAGAACTAATTAACCATTCATCTTTTCATTTTGGCTGTCATTTGGTAACCAAATGCTATCTTTGAATCATGGATATTCTTTGTTGGAACTGTCGAGGACTCGGAAACCCCCAAACAGTAAATGCGCTCAATGAACTTATTCGATGCATATTCTTTGTTGGAACTGTCGAGGACTCGGAAACCCCCAAACAGTAAATGCGCTCAATGAACTTATTCGATGCCATAAGCCGACTGTTATTTTTCTATCCGAAACTCTAGTTGCTTTGAATAAAATTGAGCAGCTCCGCTACAGATTTCATTTCGATTGTTGTTTTGCTGTGGATGCGGTGGGACGTAGTGGTGGTTTAGCAATTTTATGGCATTCTCAGGTTCATTTAGAAGTTATCCGTTATTCTTCACATTTCATTGATATGAAAATTAGGGAAGCTCAAGGTTTTATTTGGCGTCTCACTGGTTTTTATGGTATGCTGGAACGCTCCCGTAGGCAAATTTCATGGAATGTCCTTCGCTCCTTAGCTGGTTTGGAAAATCTTCCTTGGTTAATTTGTGGAGATTTTAATGACTTAATGTTCGCAGAAGAAAAGAAAGGGCGTCATCCTCACCCTCCATGCTTATTACAGGGTTTCTCGGATACTGTGGCTGACTGTGATCTAGTTGATCTAGGAATGTCGGGTACCCTTTTACTTGGGCTCATGGTAGAGGTCAACACCGGGTGGAGGAAAGATTAGACAGAGCTTTGGGAAACATCACTCGGCAGAATCATTTTCCTAATTATCAAGTCCAGAATTTAGTCTCAAGCACGTCTGATCACTCTCCTTTTTTTATTCTCACTTCTCCCAGAATTGAAATTGAAAATGGAGACAATCAACGTTTTCCGGTTTGAGAATATTTGGCTAGAGGAATCTGAAATGTAGATGCGGTGAGTTGGACTAGTCATGAGGGTGTTGATGTCACGAGGAAGATAAAAGTTTGTGGAGAACGTTTACAGAGCTGGGGTAGGAGATTAAAGCTTCGGTTTCGGTAGGATGCAAAGAAGTTGACAGTGCAGCTTGAGAATCTTCGAAACAGAGGTAATAATGCACAGTTTGAAGATGTGCAGCGTATGCTTGATGATGTTCTGCACCGTGAAGACATTTTCTGGTCTCAAAGAGCAAAATCCCATTGGTTGCAATCGGGGGATATGAACTCTAGATACTTCCATGCAATTACTAAAAAACGGAACAAGTCGAAGCAGATTCGGTTGAAGGATGCTAATGGCTAGTGGATAAGTGACAACAGTTTGCTGAAAGGTATGGTGAGTACTTATTTTGTTAATCTATTTGAGGCAGGGGATGTTGACTTAAGTCCTGTTGTGGGTTTATTCTCTCCTTTGGTTTTAGAAAATGACAATTCTCGTTTACTTGGAGACATTTCGGTGGATGAGGTAATATTGGCTGTGAAACAGATGCATGCAGATAAAAGCCCAGGGATGGATGGTCTAAATCCTAGATTCTACCACAGATTTTGGGATGTTGTGGGTCAGGATGTTGTCAAAAGTTGCCGAGACCGAGACTGGTTCAATACAGGCGTTTTTCCGAACAATCTGAATGATACCTTAATTGTGTTGATTCCGAAAGTAGAGGACCCAGAGGCAGTGAAGGATTTTCGGCCTATTTCACTTTGTAATGTAGTTCACAAAGTGTTTGCTAAGGTTCTGGCGAACAGGCTGAAGATTATTCTGCCTAATCTTATTTCATTATCTCAGTCGACTTTTGTCCCGGGTCGGTTGCTCTCAGATAATGTGTTAGTTGCTTTCGAGTTAATCCACTCTATGCAAACAAGAATGAATATGCAAACAAGAATGAAAGGTCGACAAGGCGCTTCTGCATTGAAGGTTGATATCTCCAAAGCCTATGACAGAGTTAATTGGTGTTATCTACGAGCTGTTATGCATGGCTTGGGTTTTAGCCAACGTTGGATTGACTTGATCATGCTATGTGTTTCCTCAGTTAAATACTGGGTGGGAGTGAATGGGGATGAAGTTGGCCCAATTATTCCAGAACGGGGATTGAGACAAGGTTGCCCATTATCGCCCTATTTATTTATTCTCTGTGCCGAAGGACTGTCAAAGCTGTTTAGTCAATCTGAATGCGAAGGTCGCCTCAAAGGCTGTAGAGTCTCGAGAGCTGCTCCTCGGTTATCTCACTTGTTATTTGCGGATGATAGTTTGTTCTTTTTTGAAGCATCACGGACTCAAGCTCTGGAGATTAAAAATATTCTAGTTACTTATGAAGCAGCTTCAGGTCAAGCGGTTAATTGGCAAAAATCTGGTATTTTTTTCAGCTCTAACACTTCTGAGATGGATAAGACTGTTGTTCAAGGGGTTTTTGGTGTGATTGCTCCTTTAAACCACGGAAGGTATCTCGGTTTGCCATCGTTAATTGGTAGGGATAGGAGACGTATTTTTTCTTTCTTGAAGGATCGAGTGAGGAAGTTGGTCAGTGGTGGTT